TATAAAAGCAGGTATATTCATATATCATAGCTTGTAGAATTAAAGAAGAACTTTTGGAAGATTCCCCCTGTTGGCCCCCGAGAGCCCTGTTGAAATTTCGTAGTTTCGTATTTAGTTTTTGGCCATTGTCGTCCACTTGTTACCTCTCGCCACAGCCACCAGCACTAGCTAACACCACCATCACCACCATCACCACCATCACCACCATCACCACCACAGCCACCTTCACTACCATTTCCCTTCCTACGCGTTAAACGTTCTCATTAAAACCGCGAGCGTAGTTGCACCCATTGTACCGGACGGTTAATTCTTCGACTTTTATTACCACGACCGCGACCCAGGTACCTTATACCTATATATACGCGCCAGTAGTTTATTTTCATCAGTTCAGACGATTAATCGGCGTCGTTTACCTCCCGCATAGAATCTCTCGAATAATCGTCCGTCCGGTCCGTTTCATCCCCCTTCGTACACCAACCCTGTCCACTCACACTTAGCTGAACACAATGACGGACCACCGCCACTTTCTCAAACATCGCCAAAGACTCTTACACTCGGCGTGCGACAGACCTCAGACTGTGTTTTATAAATAAGCGTAGGTACCTATATAATGTTTACCCATATAATATAATGCAGGTGATTTTTTTTTTTTATCGCGAGACTCTTCTTGCGTAGTTTGTATAATAAACGTTTCGTCAGTCGATTTGCGAATATATATCGTGTCGAGCGCTCGTTACCCTTAACGCATTTGCAAACAAATTAAAATAAAAACGCACACAAATTTACCGAGAATATCTCTGCACGAGTCTCTCGTTAAAAAAATATATATATTTGTTTTAGTAAATAATTCTTCACTTGGGATGCATATAGACTCGGTGCCACCACGTAACATTATATGTATAAAGTAAACATAATTATTATTTTAGTAAAACAATACCGTCGTTTCTCGCTGACGGACGATTGGGTATCATAATTTGTAATATCATATAATATGGTATATTCATTAAAGATTTCGCATGCATCAACAATTATCGAAAATTGTTTATTATTTTGGGTTTTACCTTGTTGCAGATTTTATGAAAATGCATATCATAATACTCTCACACTAAATACTGAAATATACAATTTACTTGAGTCTTCTGCAATATAATTTTGTATGGAAATAGTATACGCACCTAAATACAGTATGCATAAAATATTAGGTTTTATTATTTAGCAATTATTTGTTACAAATGACTATCTAGGCAGCAATTTATAATGTGTATACGTTTACCTGTGAAAGATAACTGCGTATGAAATATTTACATAATATATATTATAATATTATTTCGAGTTATGCGCATAATATTATCCATCATACATGTTTGACCTACATAGATGTTATTATTGTTGATCACAAAATATAATTCGATCGGGTTTGTTTTCAAAATGAAAATTTTAGTCTTAATTTATGTACGTAGGTAGGTATATAAAAAAATAGTAAGTACATAATATTATTATGTTGCACTTAAGACTTAATGCTGTAAATTATGTACTTACGGCTAACAACTTTTTAATTGCTTTAGTATTGTTAGTTAGTAAATTAAAAGAGAAAAAATGAAGTTCTTAGCCTGGAATCAACGCCTGGTTGAGTCCTGTGTTTCTAGTACATAATTTCCCGTTCACGTCCACGGAAGAAATTCTTGCGTCGGTAATGGGAAAAGGATAATATTGAAAGAAACTTACACTTCATATTTTTTTTTTTTTGCACCGTTCGAAAGCCCCTGAGAATGGTTTCAATGAGTGTTTAATATCCTTTAGAGCGCAACTTTTAACTAGTGCCTCGTATGACGTCTGGATCAATTTTAATCCGAAACGAATTGCGTCAAAAACCAAATAAAACGAAAATCCTTTGAGTTTTTCTTTTCATTTATTCTTTTAATAAAATCCTTTGAGACTATCGCAACAAATCGTTTGTCGGAAAACTCTTTACAAATGCAAGCCTGAAATATTACATACAACGCGCCTTTTCATGTGTAAAAATAAACATTTTATGTGTAATGAAATTTTTTTAAATGTGATCCCTTTATCTTTATTCACAGTTCAATAATTACGATTATGAAATTGTATGATACTATATTATTTTGATGGAATACATTTTAGACAACGGTGACGATATACATTTTTTCCTCCCTTCTGATTTGAATCTCTTTTTAATTTCTACTTTTACCTGCAGAACGACTTTAAATGCACTGTTTTATTCATTTCCCAGACATAATCATATAGACTTATTGGAAGGTAATATATTTTTAAATATATATTATGTGAACTCACGTATGTTTGTTTTATCCGTCAACCGTATTTTCTTCAGCCATTTGCCATTAGGATGGAAACATATAAATATTTAAAATATTCATCAAAGTCACGGCCGTTAAACGATCGAAAGAACAGCATTAACCGAACTTCAAAGGTTCGTCTGTGCACCCGCTGTATATTAAGTCGTTAAACTGAAACGATAAAATATCCAAATAACTAAAGAACACGGGGTAAGTTCACGATATTATAATAATATATTACGTTGCCCACATTGAGTAATATATGGATTCGTTAAAAAAAACTGGTAAGATGAGGATGGGGGGGGGGGGGGGAGCGTAAAA